TCCTTTAAGGTAAAGGTACACATGATTATTCCCAGGGTTTGGTTTGCTATTTTACTGCCGCTCCCACTTGTTGTACAACTGTCAGTGATTGGTGGATTCTGACTCCAAGATAATGTTGATGATTTGGTAGTTGTGACATGGATTGTTATGCCCCACGACGTGCAAGGTCTTGTATTTATCGACATTAAAAGTCATCTGACCATTTGTGGAGTTTATGTAGATTTTGTAGGGTTTCAATATGGCTTTCACTTCCCACTTTACCATAGATCTTAGTGTCATCTGCAAAGTTGATGTGGTTTGTAATATTATCATCTATGTCATTGATGAATATGACAAAAAGGGTTGGCCCCAAAATGGACCTTTTTGGCAACACACTTAGCACATTGGTGGGGGTTGGGTGAGATATTTGCTTGCTAGGCTTGCGATTACACAGTACTGGTCGGGCTCCGGGGGTGTGTCTTGTTGGGCTTCTAGTTGTTCATGGGCGGGCTCAGGATCGTGCATGGTTGTGCGCAAACAACACAAGGTTGTGCACCAATGGTTAATTGTGTACTAGTGCTCCAGGTTTGTTTGCTAGGCCTCTATGGTTGTATGTTTGCTAGAAATCCGGGTTTCTTTTTTCGTATAGAGCTCAATTTTTGTTTGGTATAGTAACACAACTGGTCGGGGTTTTGGTAACACAACTGGTCGGGGTCCAGTTACAAAACTGATGGGGCTCCATTTACAAAACTGGTTGGGGTCCAGTTATGCAACTGGTCAAGCTCCGGTTACATAATTGTTTGGGCTATGTTGTCATTTGGGCTTCGGGTTTTGCATAGTCGGGCTTTGGTTCGTGCATGGTTGTGCTTCAGATGTTGTTTGTTAGGTTCGTTCATACTAGGCTTGTGGTTAGACAACTGGGCGGGCTCCGGTCACACAACTGGTCGGGCTCCGGTCACACAACTGGTCGGGCTCCGGTTACACAACTGGTCGGGCTCCGGTTAAATAACTAGTCGGGCTCCGGAGGTGTCACTTGAGTTTCGGGTTGTGCATGGTCGGGCTTCGGTTCGTGCATAGTTGTGATCCAAAGGTTGTTCGCTTCGTTCATGCTAGGCTTGCGGTTACACAATTGGTCGGGGTCCGGTTACACAATTGGTCGAGCTTCGGTTACACAACTGGTCGGGCTCCGGTTACATAACTGGTCGGGCTCCGGTTACACAACTGGTCGGGCTCCGGTTACGTAACTGGTCGGGCTCCGGGGGTGTCACTTGGGCTGCGGGTTGTGCATGGTCGGGCTTCGGTTCGTGCATGGTTGTGATCCAAAGGTTGTTCGGTTCGTGCATGGTTGTGATCCAAAGGTTGTTCGCTTCGTTCATACTAGGCTTGCGGATACACAACTGGTCGGGGTCTGGTTACACAACTGGTTGGGCTTCGGTTACACAACTGGTCGGCGTCTGGTTACACAACTGGTCGGGCTCCGTTTATGTAACTGGTCGTGCTCCTTGGGTGTCACTTGGGCTTCGGGTTGTGCGTATTTGGGCTTCGATTCGTGCATGGTTGTGCTTCAGAGGTTTTGTTCGGTTCGTTCATGCTAGGCTTGCAGGTACACAATTAGTCGGGCTTCGGGGTGCACAAATAACTACCACTCGCTGGTTGAATAGGGGATGCTTAATGAACAATACACCTCAGGCAGAAAAAACAATTATGAAGTGTGCAACTACGGTCTAGTTGCAAACATTGCAAATAATCCAATGGATTATTGCAGTTGTATTGTTTGCACCATCTTGAGTCTATTCGTTGTCATAAGAGACAAAGCCCTCGCTGATAGATAATAATAAGATATACAACAGTATAAGCAGTGCGCTAAGCACGTCAGCCCACATATAATATCTATATAATAATAATAATAATGTTTATTCAGGTAAACACACACATACTGTATATATATGCGCGTGTGTGTGTGCGCAGAAATATTAATAAAACAATTAACATCGTGTAGTGTATTCTATATATTAAAATATATTACTTTGAAACCCGTATCAGTCACTAAAAAAAATTGGGCTACTCTTGTTACAAATTCGCTACTTTTTGACAGTCAGCTCGCTACTTTCAGCAATATTTGGATCTGGCAACTCTGCATGGCCCCGGCCGCCAGTCAGTAGTAAATTGGTGACGAGAGGAGGAGGTGCTCTGGCCCCTGGTTCGGTAATATCCTCCACTTGAATTATCTTTGTGTTCCACTTTATACATTGCTGTGTTAGTGTTTTACTTTGCAGTAAATGTGTATTTACAGTTTTATGTCTGTCAGTGTGCCGCAGACCTATTATGCTTCGTATGTCTTTTTTTAGTATTTTAGTTTAAATAGGTTGGTAATATGAATGGGATATTTTAATTTGAGTAATTGTTGTATGTTCTAAATGCAACCTGTCCTCTGGCTAGGCTCGTGCAAGCGGCGGTCCACCCCCCCTTCCCCCACCAGACACATCAATTTTAACATTAATCAATTTTAACATTCATCAATGTTATTTGCGTAATTTTATATTTGATTTCATAAACCCTATCAAGGCAATCTTAAACTCTGAAGACAGTGTATTGCTGATAATGACACTATCTCGAGCCCTCAGATTGTGACGTATAAGCCTTGTCGCCCTTTATATAATGCCTGGTCTTGCCTTTATATAAGAATGTTTGTCAAGTGGCAGAAAGTGAAGGGCAACTTGACTAGCTGAGCCGTCAATACAGATGTCCACTTGAGAAACTGCAATACTAGATGAATGACAGCGATCCTAGTACAGTTGACTTCGATCCTACATTACGGGATCCTGGGTTCGATTCCGGGCGGGACAGGAATAGTTGGGCACATTTCCTTTCACCTAATTCTATGCCTCTCTTCACAAATATATACATATAAACATGTATACCACTGTATTACGCAGTTGATTCTAATAGATTTTTCACCATGTCATATTAAGCACATACACCGTCAAATATTTTAAATCACATTATGAAAAGCAACAGTTAACATCCCTGACAATCTCCACATGCACTTCAAGCACAAAATATGTGATTGGTATCAGTTATATACAATTACCAATGTCAGTGTTTTATATGAGGACTTTGTTAATGAGGTAACATAATACTATGTTAAATGGTGCGCTCCCATTGGGATTACTGTATCCGAGCATGGAGACCACCTCTTCAGAAGGAAACAGCTACACTGGAGAAAGTGCAACACCGGGCAACAAAAGTTATTCCAGAGATAAGTCATCTCTCGTATCAGGAACGGTTGAGGACCACAGGGCTAACAGCACTACAAAGCAGGCATGACAGAGCGGATCTCATTAAAACTTAAAATACTGAGCAATTTGGAGGATGTTGATTCGAACGATTTATTCAAAAGGTCAGATGTACCACAAACAAAGAACAACGGTTTCAAGCTCACAATGTAGAACTGAGAACAGATGTTATTTTCATCCACAGTTATAAACCCATGGAACTGCCTACCCGCCGAAGCCGCGAACGCCAAAACTGTTAGGTTTTAAAATCCACCCTATCATAAAGGCAAATGGTGGGGGGGGGGGGACCTTCGACAAGCCGCCGGCTTCCTGTGCTCGTCGCCCTCGGGTAAATCACGTAAATCAAATGGGTGAAACCTAATTGGCCAAGAACAAGGCCAATACGGTCCCCTTGGCGAATTGGTAAGACACTCGCCCCGTGCTTTGCGAGCAATTTGGCCTGCGTTCGTATCCTAACCGGGGAGGATTGACTGGGTACCAATCCTTAGCTGTCGCCTCTGTTCACCCAGAAGTGAATGGTTGTTAAACGATTAAACGATTTGGCGGGTCGTATTCCGGGGAAAATTAAGATTAAAGACCTGCCCGAAACGTTATGCGTTCTAGGGGCTATACAAGAATGTAAGAACTCTTGTATATATAAACAATATATATATATATGACAGCGGTGGTTGTGTGAGCCACGCCTGCCCAAGGTCATGTCCATGCATGATCATGCACTTGTTGTTGAGCATTTCACAGCACACAAAACAACTTAATCGCTCAATACATTTATCCAAGCCAACTTCGCTTTCTGGGAACTGGAAGAGCAAACACAGTCAACACTGGGAACAATTCTTGCAGCATGAACGATTGCAAGATTGATATCATGCAATCGTTCAAATGTTGGGTAAAATTTACAAGATCTCCAAGCCTAATACTCCTCAACTTGCGTATCACTCGCCAAAGTGATTAGCGTGGATGAAGGCTAACATGTATGAAAACACACTGGCTTTCTGTCCCCCGAGACATTGAACTATTATGAACAGTCTCTCCAACATTTTAATTCTGTGATTGCTCTGTTATCAATTATTTCAGACCAGATAATGTGAGGTACTTTGAGCTATTACTATTATATACTATTATATTATATACCTTGAGCTATTACTATTATATACTATTATATTATATACTTTGAGCTATTTGAACTATTACTCACGAATATTAGAAGATAATCTTCCTGTACCCAGATTTTGCTAGTGGAAGCTAATAGATCAGCAGACTGGCATTTCATGTTCTCTCCTGATCCCATGTATGACAATCCATCCTGCGAGATGGTGATATTAGATGAACTTATAGCTAGTTTTTTTATCTACATTGTGTAATAGGGTAGTAGTACATTGCTGTGAATAACAAAGTTTGTTATTTAAAACTAAATGATTTGTTTTTATTGAGAGGATTATGTAATTAATATCTGAGAAATTTGTTGGGGGATATTATAATGTAATATAATATATATAACATAATGTTTTGAAAGTAAATGTGTATTTTGTGTGTATTGGAAATTTGTGTAGGTCCGTGACTGCTTATGACGTCACTATGTAAACATGAGCTGACTGCAGTAAGAAATTAGCGGCGGGAGTACACACATACACACACACATACAGATATATATATATTCGTCTTCCTTGGCTGTAAAGATTCGTACCAAAAGGTGATTGTGCAAAGCATTTGAGTGACAGTTGCCATGAGTTAAGAGGATCTTTAATTTCACCCTAGAGCCGTAGATAATATACAAAGTGAGACAAAATAATTTGTTTTGAAAATTCATTTTGCATCTTAAAAAAAGTACATTAGTAAACAGGTAATTTTTATCACAAGGCATTTTTTGTTTGTATCTAACACTTTATAAGCAAAAGGTCTTTAATCGAACCCTGGACCTGGGCAGGTGGGAAGACGAGTACACCGGTCCCTTGCTATAGCTAAACGAATTGTGGGGTTCAGTCCCTGAGCCCATTATGTGCCTCTGTAACCCTTTCCACTACCGCCCACAAGATGGATATGGGGTGCATAATAAATGAACTAAACTAACTGTTCGTCCCTGTTCATCAACAGTAATTGGGTTACGAATGCGGTTCATATTATTTATTATTATTTTATTATATATACAAGAGTTCTTACATTCTTGTACAGCCACTAGCACGCATAGCGTTTCGAGCAAGTCCTTAATCCTAAGTTCTCCGGAATACAACCCCTGCGAAGAATTGTTTAACAACCAAGTACCCATTTTACTGTTGAGTTAAACAGAGGCTACAGTTATGGATTTTGGCCAAGTAAATCCTCTCCAGCCAGGATATGAACCCAGGACAAAGCCCTTGTGGAACGCCAGGCCAGTGTCTTACCACTACGCCACAGAGACTGAGAACTCAGACTCCTGTAGCTAGCTCGCTTAGATAGCTCTACACAAGTCACATCAGTCTTAGGAGTTCTTAATGGCCTACTGGAGACTAGTGCCAGAACCTGGTCCCTATCTCCCTCCCCTCACAGAGGTTCAGGGAGTGGGGGGGATTATTACAATCACTCATGCCAGGTAACAATCAGAAACTCGGTTTTCACAGAGAGAAAAGAAACTATAAAGCAAATGATTCACCTAGCAGTTAGGTTGAAACCATTAGTTACAGCTTGCCACTACCGGGTGGAAACACCACCGGTAGGCCCAACCCCGTGTCAACAGAGGTTAGTCCTGTTGCTGATGTCTAGTCTGTGTGGACCACTTTTTGAGTGGTCAGCCCGTGGGCCCCAATTTCTAGATAAGTGTGTGCATCCTTTGGACTTTGTCCTGTGAGAGCCTTTTGCATTGTGTGCTGTTGCAAGATTTATTGATTGCTTGCTTCACATGTGCATTGACTAAAGTCCACACACGCCCCACTTGTTGTGTGGACTTTGGTCAGTTTTCACCTCAAGCTGTATGAGTTTGTGGTTGCCCTTCCCTCTGCACTTATTTAGTATTGCCCTCTACTCTGATACCGAGTCTCCTGGTGGGTTCTGGAGTTTTACCCTGAGAGACTGGCCTACAGTGTAGGATGGCTTGCCCAGGGTGGTGCAAGAGGTCTTGGACTTCTGTACAAGGCTATGAGGTTGGGGGAGTTTAGGGGTTCATAATTAAAGTGTGCTTGTACATATGGCATGCTGGTAACACCCCTTTGCAGCCACATTTATTGTCATCTGTATTCAGTGTCAGTTCATCCAGTAAGCATTCCTAGTACAGTACCTAGGTGTTTTGCTTGGTCCTTACCTTCAGGCCCTGTAAAACCATGCAAGTCTTTTGGCATGGTTTGCCATGGATCGGCCCACTGAGACTAGACTTGCTACTTGAAAGTTCAAGGAATGTCTGTCGTCATTGTTATATAACAATGATCATTCATTCTGTTTCTGCTATGCTGCCTGTTGGGTGGATAATATCTTCGACCCTGAGGCCTGCAAAAGTTTGCATTCACTAGGTCTCTATTTTTTTAGAGCCTCCTAGCTCAGAGGCTTATTATGCAGCTGCTGCTTTATGGGTTTGGTTTTCTTGTGTTTGCTGATTCAATGGATGCCCTGGATGGATGCTCAACACTATAGGGGCCTGGAGTTGGCCCCTATAGTGTTGAGGGAACCAGAATTGTGAAAAATATTAATAATAAATTTATAGAAGCAATAATGTGGTTGGCAAATAATTTCTCATGAAGAGAAATGGACAATATGGAAGGCATAAAGAAAGAGATGATTGGAAGCACATATAAGTTAAAGGGTAGGAGCTCTTTGGTCAGATTATGTGCATACATGAGGGAGCTGTTTGTGAGGATATGGTTTAATGGATACAGTAGTGAATTGTGACTGGAGCTATATGAAGTCTGGAGGAGGAAAGTCCACAACAGTAGCTGTAGATTGAATAATGAATGCACTTTATTTAAGCTGTAGTTCTTATTTACTCAATGCAAAATAATGTGCTTGAAAACTAGCCTATCTTTGATGGGTGAACACAATTGAAATCAGTGTCTATTGGTGAAGGAATGAATACCAACATATGGTATTTATTTGTGAATCCTAATGTATTATATTCTTTTATCCACAGGTACTACTGTATTTCAAGAATCGTCTCGGTACAGTATTGTATAAAGCTGAAAACTCCAAGCTTCCGAGCCATACTTCTCTCAAAAGTTGAAAATTAGGACTTGACCCCAAGACAATCAACTGTACTGTACCAGATCTTATTTTAATACAAGTAACAGATCTTGTTATACAGCAAGAAATTCTTATAATACATACAAAAATATACATATCGTTAACAGAATACTATATTTTTACACTAACAAATAACTTCATTACATAGTAAGCCCTCAATTGAAATGGAAGCATTTACTGCTATACGCATGGCTGTGGCCAAGCGACCAATCGTGAGCAATGTTATCGTGTATGGGCTGCTCTACACGGGTGCAGAGTTCTTCCAGCAAACCATGAATAATAAAGTTTTGGTAAGTTATATATATAATTTGATGTTTTGTGGTTATAATACAGTTATCCTTTGCACACTTTCAACATCACAACAATTAAGTGCCCTTCTGAATGACATCAATTTAATAAAAAAAAAAATTAAATCAAAAAGTTAAGCTAAAAAAATTATTTGTTGCCTTGAATTTTTTACATAAATAATTTACTGGATTCAGAAATTTAAAAAAAATAAATAATTTACTGGATTCAGAAATTTAAGAAAATAAAAGAGTATTTACTAAAATAAAATATTGTGCACTTGATTTAAAAAAATATTACTACAATTTTTGTAGTCCATTGTATATTTACTCTAAATATAATTATTTAGAGTATTGACTATAATCTGTAGCATTATCACCCGCTTCTCCATTTATCATGTTCACTATGTCATATTCACTATTTATCATGTGACTTTTATAACACAAGGATTATATCACATTGGCTTAAATGTTATCTTGGAACACATCTGTTTTATTCCAAAATATCACTGATAAAAATTGTGTAGCATTTTCATTGGACAGTACATTGGTTATTTACATTTTACTTCTCATTACCCTACAGTAAGATTTCACAATGTTCTTGGGCGGGATCATGTAAGGTCAGACATAATGACATGTAGGCACCAGTGCCGTGAAGATTGGGTGGACATAGAGGAACTGCCTTGTATGGACCAGTAGTCCTTCTGCACTAGTGTATTCTTTTATTAAACCAACCCAGAATGACTGATAAAAGTAAATTCATATAAACTTCAAGCATAATGCACACTTCTTGGATCCCTGATACAATTGACCTCAGACTCCTCAAATGTTGCCTGTTGACTTCCAGTCTGGGACCAGATTGCATTTAAACTCTTGACTTATTTTCATTCTTGAATCTTAGTTTCTGTAGTTCAGGGGGCCATACTTGTACTGGTACTGCGTATAGTATATAATGCTTTGCATGTACGTATATATTTATAAGTCCCTGATTGTATTATTGCCTGATTTCTCAGTTTGGTGCTAGTGGTGTACTTCAGTGGATTAGCTTAATGACCTATTCCCACTTCATTCATGGGTATTTGGAACATAGATAAGGAACATAAGTATTGCTCTGCATAGATTATACCATGGTATTCAACTTTATTCTTTTCATTTTGTATATGGGTGTGACCCATTCAATGTACCCAACAAGTGATGTCTAGGCAAAATGGTTGTAACCAATAATTTTGTTTATTTTGTCACCTGTGGCATAATTATGAGTGCTTTCCAACTGATAACCTAAAGCTCCTGGGTTCGATTCTCTTAAAGGATGAGATACTAAGGCACATTTCATTACTCGCAATACCTTTGTTCATGCAGTATGAGAATCTTCCCTGGGGATTAGGCAAGTGTTATGGATTACATCCTTTAGAAAGTCGATTGTTGTCCTAGGGCAGTGGTTCTCAACATATTATCATTATTATTATTATTTTCACCCCATGCACCCTTCTCATCACATGTCAGAATGTCGTTCTTCCCTACCCGCCCTTTCCTTTCCTTTCCAAGATTATCTGACTCAAAAGTTGCATTCCAGTATATCCATAGAAAAGGAGTGAGATATTGAACTTTATTATATGTCATTAAATTAAAAGTAAAGTGTGATAACCTGTAGATTATGTACAAATCTGTAAAATTGTAGTTTGTAGAAAGATCAATGTTCCAGCAGTTTAAGTTTGCAGTTTCAATTACCCCACTCCCACTGAAATCCTAAAATGGCGCCCCCCCCCCCCCCCCCTTGGTTGAGACCCTCTTGTCAGCTTTCCTGTCCCGACAGTGGGGAAATAATCACTTATATATCTTTGTCTGATAAGCTGACAGTTAGATTAATGATTGCCAAACACTCATGCCTTGGCACCCAGGATTTCTTCCTTGTGCTGTACCCAGTTATTGGCAGAGAGGACCTGTCACACAGGTCATGTTAGTGAGTGGAACACCTTAGTGATATGCACAACTCTCTTCAGTGCAGAATACTTGTAGGTCTCATGACTAAGTAGATCTTTTCTGGCCAGCCCCCACAGAAGCTTTCATTAGCTTATGCTCTGGCAATTACTGGACACTGGTCATCGAGGTATCTGCGAGATTTTCATTGCCTTACTTGGGACGAGGCCCTTGCCATTCTCTAAAAGATGGGGGAGTGTATTATGGGAATCAGTGATCAACCAAATACCTAGGTAAACTTCCTAAAAGCATTGAAAGACAACCATTAGACCTCAAACTCTCATTCAAATATGTTTTAAAAAGTGCCAAATTATGACAAGTGATTACTACTGTACTGCACAGGAAAAAAGTAGAAATCCCAATGATTGCCCCTTCAACTCGGGTGTATTTTTAAATTCAATTTGAACACTTAAAACTTCCCTAGGTGGCCAAAGACTACTTAATCCTATGGAGAATTTGTTAATTGATAGAATTGGTAATGAGGTGGTCCTCCTCTCACAAAGGTTCTTGAGATTACTTTTGACTGTGAAGGTGATTAGTAATAAGGGCATCCTATACACAAGGTAATTACCCAGGTGCGTAATTACCTAGTTGTGTGTTGGTATCGGTGGCTTGTACTCATGGGCAGACCTGTACTTATGCATTAGTGACAACTATTTGTACATCTGATAGGTTTATGGTCACTGTAGGTCATCTAGGATTATTTCTAGGAGGGGAGCCTTCAGTGACTTCCAGAAGCTAAATACCTGCCAAGCCATGCCTTAGGGAAGTTACACCAGGCCTCTGGAGACCCACTCTAACCTATTGGGAGCCAGGACCAGAATCTGGTTCCCTCAAAGAGGTAAAGGGAGCTAGTAATCAAAGATTAACTTCAGAACCAAGAAGAAACCTATGCACCAGAAAGTTCAGGTGGGTAACAAGGCAACTATGAGTACAGGTACCACAATGTAAACATACCGATCCTGTAGCACCAGTAAACCACTAGTTGGCAGCCAAGGTCACCTGGGGGTCCCTGCTATTCCACTTACAAACTGTCCCTGAAAATCTCCACTGACCCATAGGGAAGAGGGTGAACATGGTTGAGAGGGGAGTTATTGAAGGTCCCTACCAGCAAAGTGGGTTTAATTATATTCAACATTTGATTTCTAAGAGGGGGCCTTCAGTGGGTCCCCAAAGCTACCTTATAATGAACCCTTGTCAAAGGAGGCAAGTATCACAAGAATAGATGTATGCAAGAAACAAAAGATGTGGTCTTAATATTTTAGCTTCAGTTGGCAGCTTTGGTTTTGACCTTGGGCCTCTCCAATGGTCACGTTTCTCAGACTCTGTGATGTATGAGTTTTGGGACATTGGTTAGCCAGGTGCTTGGCCATTCTCAAGGCTCTCCATGGTCTGGCTGTTAGCATGGTTTGTTCCACCAGTACATTTATGGTGATCCCTCTTTTCCAGTATAGCGAGCGAATCGCCATCCGACTGCCTTCTGTAGCATCATGTTCCATGTTTGCTGGATGGTTTTATGCATCTCTTGGTTCATTTTCCTGGATCTCCAGAATGTCTGTTAACACATTACCTTCCTTCCCAAGTTCTGGTTAGGTTGGGGTTCAGTGTGAGCTACCGCTCCTACTACTTTTGACTCTGCCATATTGTTCTTCACCTAGCCTCCAGCGCTCTTTTCCAGACGGCCTTAGTTGGTCCTCTGATGTTGCCATTTTCGGGAGATTTACGACTGGCTACTTGTGCCCACAGTCATTGGATCTCTCTGCTGGGCAGGGATCTGGTTGTTTACAATTTTGTTTATCAACTGTCTGGCTGGCCAAGATCTGGGCTGTAGTGCTAGGCTGGCTTCCTTTTCTCTACCTTGATTGTCCTTGTTATGTACTGGTTTGTTATGTACCTTGTAATAGGATGGTCGATTGACTTGGTAATGGTCCAGGACGGACCAAAACGTCGTCGTCTCGCCATCTTCTGATACGTGGTTTGGTAATCGTAGTCTTGGCCTTAATAATGTGCAAAGTACACTTTAGTCCTGTCCAACAAAAGTAAACTGATCTGACAATTGCCTTTATAATGTGCTAAGGTTGATAGACCTTTGGGGTTTTTTTGGTGCCCAACACAAACCAAACTCATCATCCTCAGAGTGCACCAGATTATGATCATTGTTCCCAGTAAGTGACAGATGGGTCTCAAAGGCCTCGTGCGTGTTGGGCTGAATTTCGTTGATTGAGCTGAGCTCGGGAAGCCACTGGGGTGCCTACCAGAAAAGGCTATTTCATTACATTCAAAGCTTGATTTATGTTTTGTAAAGTTGCATTATTAGGAAATTCATCTTATCAAAGCTACAGCTATATTGAAATATAGAGTGCTGTTAATGCGTTATACTTTTATCAAAATGTTGGTACGAATGTGTGAAGGAAAAGGTGCAAAAGATGTTCCTTCATATGAGGAAAGCTCCAAGAGGAAATGGTGAATCCAGGGGGAGGAGAAATAGATTGCAACAGCAACATTGATGGTCATGACGTGCTGCTGTTGGTGTGCGTGAGATCACATTTGCAAATTTTTTTTTTAGTCATAATATTACAATGATTTTCAAAATTTTAACACTGAATTGGAAGCTATTAATGTTAAATACTGTACCTATTTATCATTTATTTTTCATTTTGTTTTGGTAACTGGTGAAATCATTTTCTAGATTCCAGCAAGCTCTACCCCGAAGCCATACGACACAGCAACAATAGCTCGTTATGGCATCATGGGAACCTGTGTATTTCCGCATACACTCTACCATGCGTATGAAATATTTATTTTTTTAGTTTTTGCTTAAATTATCTTAGCATTTTTTCCTGCCCTCAGTGCTCTTTCTTTTTTAATATTTTTGTTTGTATTCTTTTAGCATTAATCAACTTCCTAGAATTGTTTATTTTCAAGATGTTACCTTGCCTTTAGCTTATAACCCTGGCTTCTTGTGCCTTCTCCTTAAAGTTCTCTTCAAGATGTTACCTTGCCTCCAGCTTATAACCCTGGCTTCTTGTGCCTTCTCCTTAAAGTTCTCTTCAAGATGTTACCTTGCCTCCTAGCTTATAACCCTGGCTTCTTGTGCCTTCTCCTTAAAGTTCTCTTCAAGGTGTTACCTTGCCTCCAGCTTATAACCCTGGCTTCTTGTGCCTTTTCCTTAAAGTTCTCTTCAAGATGTTACCTTGCCTCTTGCTTATAACCCATATTTCTTGTGCCTTCTCTTAAGTTCTCTTAAAGATGTCACTCTGCCTCTGGCTTACCGCTCTAGATTTACAACCACCATGGTTGAAATCGTTGCAGTTATTTTATCACGAAGGCTTATACGAGGCCTGTATGTCTTTTCTTACGTTTCATTTAAGAAACAACTCTTACATGTATTTTAAGCATTTTGTATTAATTTACCTGTGTGTCAACAGTACATTTTTCATGACAAAGTAATGAAGATCACACACACACACACACACACACACACACACATATATTACATATATACTATATATATATATAATGTGTGTATGTAAGTGGAGGAATATATGTAGAGGAATATAAGAAGTATCACTTTTGTAAACAGAGTGGTAGACGGTTGGAACAAGTTGCCCAAAACGCTGCGCGTGCTAGTGGCTTTACAAGACTGTAATTACCATATTTGTATCCTCACATTCCTTATGTACATTCTTGTATATGCATAAATAAATAATAAATAAAAGTTAGGCGAGAACGTGGTGGAGGCCAAAACCATCAGTAATTTCAAAGCGTTATATGACTAAAAGTGCTGGGGAGACAGGACACCACGAGCGTAGCTCTCATCCTGTAACTTCTCTTAGGTAATTACAAACACTTTGTACAGTTTATAAAATATATGTGTGTATGTATGTAGATATGTAGAGCAAATGTAGATATGATAGAGCCCAGTAGGCTCAAGAATCTGTACACCAGTTGATTGACGGTTGAGAGGCAGGACCAGAGAGTCAAAGCTCAACACCCCCCCCCCACAAGCACAACTAGGTGAGTATATATGCACACACAATGGAATCTCAGTATTCTAACTTAATTGGTTCGTGAAGGCGGGACGAAAACATAAATGTGCAAATACTGAAAAAGGTTTTCCATGAGGAATAATGTAAATTGGATTAATCCGTACCAGACCACAGCAATAAAAATATTAATGCAATAATTAAAATAAATAAATACTAACATAGTATGCATTTGTCCTACACTTAGAGTTGATGGCATATGTGGAAGGTGGGGAGGCAGAGGAAAAGAGATGTTATTCTTTGGCAGGGAAGTCCCCTACCATTATCACACCTTTATCAGGGTGACATTTGTCAAGAAAACTGCACTTCCTTCCCCCATTTTGCATACATTTCTTTCACTAGAGAGCTAGATTTAGGCATACCAAATTTGGTAACGAGCAGACAAACGGGCACCACTTTCATATTTTGCTATGAGGTCTTTTTTTCACCTTTATCATGGTTCTAACCATTTTTCTTTTTGTTTGGCTTTTATCACTAACTTTCTTAGGTGACATGGTGACTTATTTACACTAAGATTATTAAAAATAATCAAAATATCCAAGAGAAAAGTGTAGCGGGTTGTGCACTGAACGACAGCTGTGGCGAGACTGACACATCAGGGATGCTTGTTTACTTGTGCATGCTGAGCAAACGGATGAATACCAAACATGAACACGGCATCCGAATGCCAAAAAGTTTGGTTTAAGAGGCTTAATGCACCTCCACCTCAATCAGTCCAATTGAAAGGCATTCACCACAAGATCCTTACGATCAAGGAATGGAGCCACGTAGGAGCAAGGCGTGAAGAGGTTCACCTTGGAGCAACCGAACATCTTGCAGATCCAGTGGAAGGACGCATCATCAATGGTCCACTCCATAAAATGGGACAGAAGTGAGAACCCATTTGTGAAAACATTGGACCCACCCTGCATGTGAACTGCGCAGAGAACCATACCCTGAGAAACTAAAGCTGAACTACTCAGTGTCCAGCTCGCTTGAAGTGAAGAGACCCCCCCCCCATCCCCTTCAGTTCAGGTAATAAATGACTGGGAAGTAGATGGAGTGGACCCAGAGCACAGAGTAGAATTCTCTTCAGGGCATGCTACACAGCCACGAACTTGCACACCATACTGTGCGCCTGAAGAAACATACCCAACCTTGAGCAGCCTAGCCAGCACTGATCACAATGATCTAACCCAGAACCGAAGCATCTGTGAATAAATTGACTAATAATAGAGAATGATACCACAGAACCGAACCTTGAAAAGCCTGAAGAGGAAGCCGGCAAGACAGGAACCCAATGAATAGCAGATGGGGGGGTCAGAACCTGTCAGTCCTAGAAGCACCGAAATGGATGGAACTGGAAAAACAATAACAATACCTGGAGCCAAACTCTATCCACGGAAAAGACAATACAGTATAGGTAAAGTTGTGGCTCCCACATAACTGCTTAACTAACTGGCAAGTCACCCAGTTCGTTGCAGACGATCCAAAATCACCAATGACGGCGAAAGAAAAGCAGACAGTGTCCCGAATAAGGCCCTACCAAGTCCGAACCTGGGATGAAACCAACTGGGATTTTCGTCAATTCACCAAGAACCTGAACCTGACGAACTGGGAAAGAATCGGATCCCTGGCTTGCTGACACAGAGGCTGACTGGGAGCCCAAACCAGCCAATTGTCGAGGTAGGCCAATACACAAACCCCTAACAGGTGTTGCTGGACCACAATCCTCCACGTCAACCTGGTAAATGCATGGGGATCCTGTTTTAAACCAAAATGAAGAACCTTGAAGTAGTAAGCCTAGTGCCTAACACAAAAGTACAAGTCCCTGAAATGGTACCTGAAAATGAGTGGTCTTCAACACGGTCTTTAGGATCATCAACTGGTACACTCACATGACAGTTGATGATCCTGAGGGATCATCACCACTGCCAAACTGGCAGTGGTGGTGTTCAGTGAAATTACAATGGTGGTGGTGTAGGCCTCACCCTCAGGACGGTAACATGTGCATCTGTATCGCTATCTGTATCACATTTAATGCGAATAAATGCCATAACGTGGCATTTATTCACATTTAATTCCATCTGCACAGTGATGCTTTAAACTGTAAACTTACTTTATTCAAGTCTTCTTGAAGGACATGATCATTATTAAGTTTCTAATCTTCCTTAGTAGCTTGGCATCATCAGCAAACAAGTTTATATAATTTCAGAAAAAAATCACCATTGACATTAAAATAAATATGTAAAAATATCTTGGCGGCAACTGTTGCACCGTGCTTAGCTCATGGTAACCGCCATGGGACGATGACTCGAACTCTTGTCAATCCAGAGAATTCTTTGCTCCATCATGGCCAAAGTATGCCGCAATTTTTTTTTTTTTTGTAAGGTGAGGTGTTGTCGTCCATAAACAGGTGCGTAGCCTAGAGGTTAATGTGATGTGTATTTATATTTAATTTTAGAACCTCTAAAATTTTTAACACAAAATCCAGTATCCTTGTAAGATTTTGGTACTTATTGACTTAGGTATTGAAGAGCTGGTGTTGGTTCTCTGGTAGGTGAGACATACTGGCCTCGACTGTTGTCGTGTGGCCTGTTGGCCCTACTGTGGTCCCGAGTACGTACAGCTAGGCAGGCTGCTCGCCAAGTTCGGTGAGGATTGTGCTTACGCTATGTTGCATTATTCTAGTTGAAACTTGTGCATGTCATAGTAGTTTCATAAAAATATTACTACAGTACTAGGAGTTGAATGATACTCTTGAGGAATGTCGATACTAGAGGATTCTTTTGAGAGAGAATAAAGTTTAGAGTACATTTATGGAACATATTAGGCATATTGTACAGTATTTGCATTTAAGAATTCTGAGTATGCATTCTTTGTATTTTAAAATTTATTGTTAATTCAAGCTAACATGGATAACCATGTTCAGTACTGTAATACTAAAGCTTACATCAATGTAGTTTTTTATACACCACGGTATACTTGCTGTTTATTTAAGATAACAATGCATGAATATGTTTGTATTTCTCAAGGAAGTAGACACCTGGAATGCTAAATATCCTACTCTATCCTAGCACTTTAATACAGGTTAGAAGTTCTGTGAGGGCATCTGACCCTCACTTGATTTTTAAACTGTTAATATGACATTAGTCTGCATTGAAACATACTATACTGTACTGTACTGTATATGAATTTTCTGTATAAATATATCTTGACAAACTATGAACCAGCCCAGTTCTTTCACCTGATTTGAAATCCGGTTGATTTTTATATTCACTATTCTCCAGACACCTGATTATCGGCATTCTTGGTGGGCTAATAAATGTTATATTAGGTACACAGTATTGCAAACATAATGGTGGGAATCAAAAGAGATGCGTTTCTATAAAATAAGACTGGAAAGGACACCGTACATGTAATAGCCATAGAGATACTGCATTAACGAATAACTGGTGGCATCTGGAACTGCAGTGTGTGTGGACTCCATGACAGTGGTCCCTAGATAATTGATTATTTAATTAATCTCTTCTGTATTTGCCGTGACATAAACCTGAGTAGCGTTTTTATTATAGAATAAAGACCGTGGGTATCTACAGAATTGGGTAAACTATTATTAACTATCATGTAATGTTCGCACACTAACCTGACATGAGATAGCCTGTAGAGTAGTTTGAGTAGTTCTGTTTGAGTCGTGTCATGTCTCATGGTCAGCAAGATGATATCCAAGTGGTGAACCACATGAGAGCTGCATAATAATGACTTGCATTAACATTTCAGTCTATGTAGGAATTGCATTGGCAATTATATCACCCATGCTTTTATGGAGTGTCATATATATATATATAACCCATGTGCAGTATTTTTGTAATTTAACAAGACTCGTGTGGCAACTGGAATGTAGTAAACGATCCTCAAACCTCTTTTAATATTCATTTACACTACCTCGGCATACTGTAAGTGGGTGTAAGCTTATACAGTACTGTACTTTCATTTGCTTATGTAGATAAATGAGTGTATGGTGTTTTGAAGTGTGTGTTGTGTTTGTGTGCCCTAAATGTGTTGAGGCATTGTTGGAATGACTCCCTGGCACTCTTATTTTGCCCCAGAAAAATAATTTACATAATGTAAAACGTGCCTACAGTATTTTGTTATGCGGCATACAGTAGCCTATTGATTTTGCTGTAGAAACTTGACTTTAACTAGACTTCAGGCATTCACAGTTGATACTGTTTACAAAATTTAATACTGATACTGTATACAGAATTTAGTGCCTTTTTTTAGTGTTCTAGTCAAAGTACATTAAATATATTTTTGTGGTAAATATTTATTAAGAATTTATTTTGTTAAATAATTTCAGTTAAAAAAATTTGCCATTCTTTACAGGTACAAATACTTAGACTCAAAGTTTGTGGGCAAGAGTTTACGGATGGTGATGCCAAAACTTGCCGCAGATGCCCTTGTTATCACCCCCATTAACCTTACACTGTTTTATGTTGGTAAGTTATAAGGCATTACCTTTGTTGCATTCATTTTATGATAGTGTGATGTGTACATTAGAATTGTACTATGTTCAAGGTATTGTGAAGATTTGGATTTGCTTTTGTTACCACCATAGATGGTGATAAGCGCCTGACAGCTGGGTGGACAGCGCTTCGGATTTGTAGTCCTGAAGTTCCGGGTTCGATCCCCAGTGGAGACGGAGACAAATGGGCAAAATGTTTTTCACCCTGATGCCCCTGTTACCTAGCAGTATATAGGTACCTGGGAGTTAGACAGCTGCTACGGGCTGCTTCCTGGGGGGCGAGGGGGGTGTAACAAAAAGGAGGCCTCGTCGAGGACTGGGTCGCGGGGATGCGTAGCCCCGAAATCATCTCAAGATAACCTCAAGATCTCAAGATAACCATTTGATCAATATTACTCTGGGCTCTGTGAGATTCTGACAAGATTGTCAGCATGTGAAAATAATATAGTATAACAGTTTGAACCTTGGCAGTGGTTCTGGTGAAAAACCTGGCAGATGGGACATGTAAGATGGAAGTTAATAAATCGTTGAATTAGTTATACAGCCTATATAAATTCATATATTGTAACAAAATAATGAATATCATTAATAATATGCTGAGTAACTTGTGGTACTGTACCATCACTTTGGGCTTCATAGCCCTCCTTCCTTCTCAAATACTAGACCTTAACCTGCAAAATCATGAATCTACCTCTTTGTAGAAGTTCCCTGTATAATAAAGAGGAACTAGTATGCACAGCTCTTAAACTTGACCAATGTGGTGGTAGAGACCGGGTTGCGGGGACCTTGACCCCTGGAATCAATGCAAGGTAACCTCCTTCCTCTCATTTGGGGGGAGAGGGTGGAGGTAGCCTGGGGTCAGCCAGCTGATCCACCCTCAGTTCTAGATGAAAACACCCCAGACACCCTGGAGAGGGAGAGTGTCAAGAAGTCACCAGGGCTCACTTAGAAATTGGCAATTCTACTGTACATTCTCAATGCTGGTTTTCTGGGGGGAGCCTCCTGTGTCTTCCTGAAGCTAACAACTATAGAGAAGGAAACAAACGGGCACTTATCAAGGAAGATGAAACACTGCAGTTAACACTACAATATTGAGAGACTCGGCTGCAACACACGACCCAAAGCCACACAAGGGCACTGGGGACCAGGAACATTGACAAGATACCTGGCTGCCAGAACCCTGTTCGACCACCAGAACCCTGGCTCCCGAATATCAGCCCCAGTCCTAATATTGTATGTATTATATATACATACAATATTAGCAAAGACAGTCAATATAGTGGCATACTTATGAACATTATGGGTGTAAGTGTAGGCTGCAGGCTGACTTGACTTGATGACACTACATCAAGGCTAAATATTGTACAATGCTATTTGCTCTGTGCCTGCAGAATAAAGCTATTAGCTCTTGGACCCTGCCTTTCTAACCAATCTATTTTCCTCTATTATTTCTACACATTTCTCTAATACACACACATCCCCAGGAAGCAGCCCTTAACAGCTGTCTAACTCTCGGGTATATATTTACTGCTAGGTGAACAGGAGCTAGAAACTATCCATTTGTTTCTGCCTCAGCTGGGAATCAAGCCCGGGCCCTTAAGACTACGACCCCTGAGTGCTATCAACTCAGTCATGAGGCCCCCAAATGAATGCTGTAGTACTTGAATTGGTGCAGGTTAATGATGATAAATATATAATGAAGGAATCTACTTTTAATGTATTTTTATGCATTATATATCAACAGGTATGAGTGCCTTAGAAGGAAAAGAAGATTGGCTAGAAGAATGGAGGAAAAAGATCATCCCTACATTTGTGGTGAGCTTTCCATCTGTTGTGTGTCCATTGTAACTTACAATTGTTATACAAAGATGAAAATGTTGAGAGTTATACAGAAATGCACCAGGTCCTGAAGTATTTTGCTTGAGTAATCTTTTCAGATTTGTTGGAGATCTGTTTATACAGTATTGTCTTGCTGATACCTCGATAGCTAGTTAACTAAATAATTTCTGATGTGCAGTATAATATGGCAGCAATAATTGAAACTACAGTATTTTATTAATTTTGATGAGGGTATTTTTTGCATTATTAATAGCATTTCAAGAAAATTGCTTCATGTGTTGTGGGTCATGCCGTCTGCTGTATTGCTTCATATGTAGGTCATGCAGTCTGCTGTATTGTTTTATACATATTCATCCTATGGTGAACTGGCAAAAGTCCAGGCTTTTTACATCCCAGGTTTAGACTTGGCTGGGCCTTGTGGGACTCTTGGTCTTGGTCTACCACGGCCACCGCCACCACTGGCGCCACCAGCATGGGCGCCAACACCACGGCTTCCTTTTCTTACAATAAAAGTCTGTTGGCCAGGAGATGTAGCTCTTCTACATTGTATAGTAGGCTGACCACAGAAAGTTGAAGTGGAGGCCACGCTGTCGTTAGTGTCATCATGGCTGGGGACACTCCGGCATTTGGCAGGGCATGCTGCCAAGACACCAAATCTTCGTCTAGAAACACCACCACCACGATAGTCACTAACACTCGGTTCATCTATGCTACTTGTATCAAAAGCAGCATCATTGAACCCAGAAAATATGATTCTTGTATAAGGTCTTTATCTGACTTTGGGTCACCAACATCACTATCACAGCTCTCTTGAAACAATGTCTTGAATTTTAACTTCAGACAGTGGTTTTTCAACTGCACGCCCCACGGGAGAGTGGGAACTCGAAGCGTGTGCATCAGCCATGGTTACTTACTTGAAACTGAGCCTACCCGTGGCTGTGGGGTATGCTGGGAATTTTGCACAAAAGGGCTGATGTTCACTGGAGGCCTCAGGCTTCCATCTGGTACCCAACCTACCACGTGCAAGTTTTGAAACTTACGATATACTATAATAACATTTATGATATGTAAGGGGGTGCACCACCATACTCCATGATATCACAAGTTGCACAGTACAGTGGTTAAATATACGTCATTTTCTGCAGCTGTCTGAAAGATTTGAATAAGATTAGAGCTTTGCTCTTGTCCTCTATATTTTCTACTCTCATAAAAATCTTGTCATCTGCAAAGTATCTTTGAGGACTGAGCTTTTCATGGAGTATGGTCCGGATTTGATTTTATTGACCATTACTCTTTAGGTTCTGTTCTTTAGGAAATTGAAGATCCATCTTCCTACTTTGTCAATAATTCCTTCTGTGCATGTCTTATATATAACACCATGGTCACATTTATCTAACCCCTTTATCAAAATCTGCGTACATTATATCGCCATTTTTCTTGTCCTGCATGACAAGTCATGTGGTAGTGGTCAAACAATTGTGAGATAAAATTGTCCTGCTTTAATACCCATGTTGCCAGGGTTATGTAGATGCAGTGATTCCATGTGTTTTGTGATCTAATTTTTTACCAGTCTTTCAAGGATTTTTAATGCATGATGTTAGTTCTATTAGTCTATACATTTTTTTGCATCTACTTTACTTCCTCTTTGTAGAGTGGCATTATCTTTTATTTTTTTTTAAGTCCATCAGGGATAACATTACTGTCTTGGCTCTCCAAATGATGATTAGAGACTGTGATAGTGGTTTTCTGGAGGGGCCAACAGTGGCTCCCCGAAGCAAACTCGTTTACCTCGGATAGCTCTCCCCTCCCGAGTCATAATATCCTTAGGAGTCCTGGATGGCCTACCGGGAACCAAAGCTAGAACCTAGCCACCTTCCCCCCCCCCCCCCTCCTTCACAGAGAGCTGGGAATTGCTATGATCGCCCTTCACTGATAAAACATCCAGAAAAAATTGAAGCAATACAGACAATTCCAAGGTTCAAAGAAAGAAAAGCAGTGAAATGGCGAAATGACTACACAAACGATTCACTCAAACGAAGTCAAACTCTTCCTTGATACGGCTAGCCACCAATAGTTATTCAATATGGGTAGTTATCCCATAAAGAGCCAAAGTCAAGTCCTGAGTCTCGAGAGTTCTGGTACATTTTTTGTTTCCAAGGTTCTTATCCTCAGGGAGCTACTGAAAGACCTACCAGAAATGGGCATTTTCTTACATTCAACTTTTGTTTTCTTTGTTATATATATACAAGAGTTCTTACATTCTTGTAAACCCACTAGCACACATAGCATTTTGGGCAGGTCCTTAATCCTAATTTTCCCTGGAATACGACCCGCCAAATCATTTAACCAGGTACCCATTCACTGCTGGGTGAACAGAGTCTACAATTAAGGAATGGCATTCTGTCGATCCTCCCCTATCCAGGCCAAAGCACTCGCGTAGTGCCAGGCAAGTGCCTTACCTCTGCAACTGTGTGGTAAAGTCTTTGATTTTAAAGGCAAGGCCTTTAGGCTAAAGCCTAAAGGTAAAGCTAAAGCCAAAGTGAAGAACTCTTGACTTTTGTTTGTCACATGGTAAAAGTACACTTTTAATATACAAAATAAAATAATTTTTACAGTAGCACTAGAAAGGGAGAGAGAGAGCATGGGAGGTGTTCCTTCCTAGTATTTGTATAGTACAGGGGTACCTCAGTTTAAGAATTTAATCCATTCCTGGAGACGGTTCGTAACCCGAAAATTTGTAAACCGAAACGAATTTCTCCATAAGAAATAATGGGAAATGAACTAATCCGTTCCTGACTCCCCAAAAACTTCAAAGTAAATTTTATACCTATTTCACCCAAATCTTCACTACAAAAGTATGTTAAAGTTATTACTTGCTGATGACTCCTGTTGGCATATGGAAGATGGTAAGAAGGGGAAAGGAGGAGAGGTGTTACTGTTTGGAATGGGAGTCCCCCTTCCATTATAACATCAGGCAGTGAAGATTTCTCTGGAGTGCAATCTCTGGCATGTTTTGCCTGCATACCACTAGGTCCTGGTTGTGGCTCACTGCTTGATTTTCTCACAAGGAAACGTTCCATTGAAAATTGCTTTTCCCTTCTTTGCAACACTTGTCTGTAGTGAGGCATCACATTGTCATTGAAAAGATTAATGCAACGGCCTACTACAGCTTTCTCTGGGCGAGTCGCTTCATGCTTATGAATGATCTCTTGTTTTTCCTCTATGGTCATTCTCACATGTGATTTCTTGCCTTGACCCTTAGCACTGGCTTTCTTGGGACCCATGGCAAGATATATAATAACTTTTATGTCAAATAGCCAAAAATCTGAAAAGAAACTGTAAATCCTTGCAAAGAATTCAGGCGGGATAGTCACTGGGCGCAAGGCACTCGTAAACTGAGGCGCGATCGCCGTGCCACCACGCACTAGGTCGGCCGTATGCGTATCAACAAACTCGTATCCCGAGGTAAAGTTCATATCCCGATTCAAATTTTCTGAACAAATCAGGCTCGTAACCCAGAAAGTTCGTAAACAGGGGTGTTAAACCTAATAAGTTATTTGTTGTGAGTAAAACACTTTCTGCATCTAAATTTTATGCAAAACTCTAATTGCACGTGCCTTTCTGTTGCAGACGGCTAGCGTGTTTTGGGTTCCAGTATCTCTGATCAACTTCAGATTCCTGCCCCCTCAAGCACGTGTAGTATTTGTTGGTACATGTCAGGTCATTTGGGTGTCAATACTGTGTTGGTTCAAGCGGCAGGAATACTAAGCTTACTCACAGTTAACTATGTAAGATAATTCTATTTATGTAAAGGTAGGTGCATAACTGACATTCACTAAACTGATTGTGACACTAAAAAAAAAATTACCTGTTGTATATTGTAAAGTAGTAGAAATGCACTGTATTATTTCATGAAATTTGTTTTTTCAATGAGTAGTGGAGTTTGTTTGTCGCTGCTCCTTGTGCCTCTTTAGAGGGGGGGGATGGTGGCTCATGGTCCCCGTTAGGACTAAAAGAACTCGGCATCTGATAGTACTTGTTAGTTTGGCACCATAGTTTATGTTCTCAACAAAATTAGTAATTTCTTGGTGAATACTGTACCCTAGTGCAGTCTTAACATTATACAGCAGTACAGGTAGTGGCAAAAAAGTGGTGGAGGTTTTGTTGAGGGGATGGAATGTGTGTCTCGCAGTAAGCGCACTAGATCTTGGGCATTATGGTCCTGCCACAGACACATGCTGATGAAGTGTTGCTCACTTTGGATACAGGATAACAACACAGTCCAATATAACGTAGTTCAGCCCAGACGATAGAGCTCTGTATTGGCATAAAAAATACAGTAATGCCTACCGAGTTCTTCAATTGCTCAAAACAGTTTACTGTCTACCTTAATTTATCTGGCTTGACAGCTTAACCTATCCAAGATATAATACTGTGTATTAGTCCCAAAAATAGCTTATTGGTAAATGTTGGATTTTCTGTTGGTTTCCAATTGAAGAATGTATAAACTGCATTTAATAAATGGCCATTTAATATGAAGACAAAGATGAGATCATTAATTTTTGTGAACAATTCTTTCTTTAATTGTTTAAATTATTAAGATACATTTTTGATAGTTGCAGGCGATGAGTCACAATAAGGCTGAAGTATGTTGACCAGACCACACACTAGAAAGTGAAGGGACGATGACGTTTCGGTCCGTCCTGGACCATTCACAATTAACTTGAGAATGGTCCAGAACGGACCAAACGTCGTCGTCTCTTCACTTTCTAGTGTGTGGTCTGGTCAACATTTTTTATAGTTGTCAGTCTCAACTCCAAAACTCAGATGGTATATGTATTTCAGATAACTTGCAAATAAATATTCAAAACACTTTCTTTTATGACTAATCTTTATCATATGAAATATCCTTAAAGGTAAATAAATAGTGTTTTAGTTTAATATAAAAGTTTTTCAGAAATAACAATTGCTCATTATTATGCATAGTTTCTCATATGTTTCTCAGAGTATAACAGATGAGAATTGTTGCTGGAGTTTCAACGTTGCAGTTCATTCGAGTTTCAACATTTGCAAACTCCAGCCGTTGGGAATGGCTAGAGTTTCAATATTGCAGTGTCAGGGTCAAGTGGCTTTTTCCCTGGAAAGTACTGTGTTGGAACCACTTAACTTCCCCCACTACTGTGCACTGCAAATTAGGTCACTATCCTGTTATGCATAAATGAAAATCTTTTTCCATTCTATATCATAAATCATTTTTTTCTGGTGTGAAAAATGAAGTGCTAATCATTTTTAGTGAGGTAAAGAAATGCTTGAAAACATCAAATTCTGATCATTTTAATGTTAACTATTTGTAATATATTTCTCCTCATCACTAATATCTTCCAGATCAAAAAATTCCTTTAAATTTTGCATGGCATAAATAGTTCCTAGCATCGGATATCTATAAATGGATAGTGATGCACCTGACATGGTGCTAGTTGTTTTTAATAGTGCCCAAGAAGGGACCTATGACTTTTTTAACTTTTTCCCCAAAATGGCACATGATTTCAAGGTCTCTAATGTCATCTGGTATCCAGAAAGAATCTTTAGGAATTTTAAGTTTTTGAGGCACACCTATCTCCCACAGGAGATAGGTGTACAGGCCCATATCTCTTGAGGGCAACAGGAACAGTTAGTTAAATGTGAAAATCAACTGGCTTATAACAGCCTCCAGGCTTCAGCCGAGATATTCCTTACATACAATACACCCACAAGGGGACACCGGTGGAAATTGAGTATCCAAATGAGCCACAGACATTAGAAATATCTTTATTAGTGCCAGAGTAGAAAACAAATGGAATGCATTAGGAAATGATGTGGTCAAGGCAGACATACACAGTTAAAAATGTAGATATGATAGAGCTCGATAGGCTCGGAAATCTGTACACTGGTTCCCCGTAAGCACAATTAGATGAATACAGTGGGTTGCATATATCATAACAACTTGGGCACCAGTAATATCACATAACTATCCAGGAAGGTTTACCTGGAGAGGGTTCCAGTTGTTGTTCTACTCACAGAGCTCGACTTGTGATAACTTGGTCTAACAGGCTGTTGCTTGGAGCAGCCTGCAGGCCTGCATATCCACTACAATGCAGTTGGTCTAGCACTTCATGCAGAAACTTATTTAGGGTAATTGCTTCTTGAATAGTTTTTTCTTCTCCATTGGTACATCCCTTGCAAATGAGATCCCCGACTCGTGTGAATGTAGATTAGTACCTCTCGGCCAGTTATCCTGAGTCTCTGTACTTGCAGTATCAACAAACTCTACAGATGTCAATGATATAATCATCTCACTTAAAACTAAATCTAGTAACTTCTCTGAGATAACCCAAAGTTATAAAAAAGTCTCAAGGCATTTAACTCTTGCCATAGCATTGGTCTACAACAACTCTCTTAAGCTCTGAACCTTCCATGATATTCTTAAGAAGGCCAGAGTAATCCCAATTCATAAAAGTGGCGATTTCTCCAAATTATTATTTTTATACCAGTTGGAGAGGATTTATCAACCCTTCCTACCCTTTCAAAAATATTTAAACTAATGTACCTGTACAAGCAACTTTATTCCTACCTAGACAAACAAAATATACTTAGTTCTTGCCAATATTGCTTCATATTCCCTAGAAGCACCAACGATGCTTTAATTCTTATGCTTAACATGCGGCTCTTGACAAAATGGAGTACCCCATAGGTTTATTTGTTGACCTACATAGTCCTTTGACAGTTAACTACAGTAAACTACTTCTCAAACTGCAACACTATGGAATCATAGATCACTCCCTTCAATACTTAATCCTACCTTAGTGATAGGCTCCAGTATGTTTTGGTAAATAATGCCAACTCTCCCACTCAGCCAATTAACATTTAGTGTTCCACAGGGTAGTATTCTAGGTCTAGTCCCCTTTCTAATTTACATCAATGACTTTCCTAATGCCGCTCAAGCACTTAAAGCCAGTCCTTTTTGCTGACGACACATTAATTTTCTCTCTAGTAATCTTAAACCGGGTCAGAACTGGACCTTCAGTCAGTTCACCAGGAACCCAAACCTTACAAGCTGTAAAAGAACTAGATCACTGGTAAGCTGATTTGCAGACTGTCTGGGAGCCCAAACCAGTCAGTTGTTGAGGTAGGTAAAGATATGAACTCCCAAGAGATGTAAGCAAGCCTCAACTACCAGCAGTAGCCTAGTCAAGATCTGAAGAGCCAGATTGAAATCAAAGGGTAGAACCTTGAAGCTGTAAGCTTGATGCCAAACAAGAAACCTTAATCAGTCCCAGAACCTCGGGTAAATAGTGACATAATAGTATGCACCCTAGAGGTCCAGGACCTGGATTCACGAAGCAGTTACGCAAGTACTTACAAACGTGTATGTCTTTCCTCAATCTTTGACAGCTTTGGTTACATTTATTAAACATTTTACAAGCATGAAAATTTCCAACATAACATCATAGTTGTTTATAACAACTGTTCTTGTTGTTATAAACAGCCTCTTGGTGCTTCGGAGCTCATTAACTGTTAAATAATTGTAAACGAAGCCGCCAAAGACTGACAAAAGATGGACAGATTCGTAAGTGTTTGTGTAACTGCTTCGTGAATCTGGCCCCAGGGACATTGTCCAGAAATCCACCCGCAACACCAAGCAAACCTGAGCTAAAGTGGTCACACAAAGTTCGACAGGGAATGATGAAGTTCAATCCCGAAAGGTCGAGAATGTACCATTGGTCCACTGAGCTCCATTTGGGACCAGGACCAACTGGAACACCCACCAAAGAGGAGGTTGACTTGACCACGCTCTAGTCCAACCACTTCACAGTAACAACGTGGAGCTGAGGGAAACGACCAACTAAGCACATGTGAAGCTAAAAGGGGAAAGGTGGATCAACTCCATCAGAGACCTTGAGGAAACAATTTGTAAATCCCACACATCATTGGACCCGGACTAGGCAAAATGAGCCATGCACCCCTCCACAGTGCCATCAAGGAGTGAACCATGAAAGGGTCGACACGAAGACATGTCAAACAAAGGGGGCATCAGCCGAAGGAAGCCCATGCCCAGGAATCCAACTTCGCTGGAAGTCTACGCTGACCAACAGCAGGCGAGACCCAATCCTGCTGAATCTGGACCAGACCGCTTCCAAGCAGAGTGGACAGAGTCCCTCTGGGGGTGGGGGGGGGGGGGCAGGCACTGAAGGAAACAAGCAGTCCTCAAGTGACACAAAAGCACCGCCCAAGAATACCTGAAAGATTTAAATAATTTTCATCCATTCTATAATCTTGAGCACAGATTATGCCAGGCCCCCAAGGAAAAGAGAGGATTGTCAGCAAGCCAGGGCAAATCGGTGCCCTCGTACCAAAGCCAAAATGCAGAAGCAGACCCAAACTCAAAGAGGTTGGGTCCATAAGGGAAGCAAGGTCCTCATCCAGCAGGAGAACCTGAAAAAGGCCTGCCTATGGTGAAGAAGATGAAAGGTGGGATGATGAAGCCCTACAGAAATATGATTCCTTGGCATCGAAAGGCACATAGAAGCACACCCGATGAGGAGCCTCAAGGAATTTAGCTCGTACACAGAAAGGGGATACGAAACACTCCCCCCTGGAGTAGAACATCCTCAGGAGAGTGAACCAAAGTCCAGAAGCGGTTGAAGGGCACCCATATTTCGCTCCCACTAGATAAACGACATGCGAGTTTAAGAAACAAGTAGTGTATTGTGAAGACTATTATTAATGAACAGCGGATCCCCTATGACTCTGTAATATCTCCATTACTCAAACAACTAGGTATTAGCGATAAGTCATTAATGTATAATGACTTACTGTAAATACTGTATATAACCCTTGAAATAGAACATTCTCTGTAACTAGCTGACATTGTAATTATAAGGTGTGAAGGATAGATGAAATTGTTAATGTAATTTTTCTCCGTTGAGGTCTGATAAAGACTTTTTGTGCCCTCTGTAATTCTTTTTTGCGCTACCGCTCACAGGATGAGCATGGGGTGCACAATAAACTAGCCGCCTCTGGTGGCAACAATCAATCATGAACCCTCCTTGGGTACTCCCCTCCCTTGGCCCCAGAGCCTAGCTGTGTGCAGTAGAAAGCTCCAGATCCTTGGTAAAAAGAAATGGCTAAACTGTCTTCGACGTCAAAATGAATGGGGAAGCCCCTAAAGGCAGCCAAGCTAAATCCTAAAAGGATTCCGAAACCCTCAGATGGCCCAGAGCTCGGACCAGGGGAGGAAAAGACAAGACAATGGGCGAACCACGCCAGCAGGTACAGGAGGAGGAGGAGGGGAGGGGAGCAAACTTACAGCACGTCAAATTCACCAACCCCTCCAATTCCAGAACATCCATATGAGCACCAAGCCATGAACCATGAATATAGGAAAAGCGTGTTCACAAGGGCTGTAGAACCTGCTGTAGAACTGGTCTAGAGGCAGTAAAGGAAAGCTAACCAAACCCTAGGAATAATCAAGCATCCCTTTACCTTTAAAGAAAAGAAGGTAATCATTCAACTGTATAACACTTTGGTGTGCCCCCACCTGGATTATTGCATCCAGGCATAGAAACCTCACCTTCAGAAAGACAGCTTCATTGGAGAAAGTTTAACACTGGGAAACAAAAATAATTGCAGAACTAAGTCAACTCTCATACCAGGACAGGTTGAGAGTGACAGGGCTAACAACACTGCAAGCCAGACATGATAGGGCTGATCTTGATCTGACCCAGGTCAAGGTGTCTGATAGGGACCTTGAAGTCAAAATCCACCACTCGATAAAAGTTGCACAGCAGGTAGGAACAGCAATCAAAAAAGCTAACCCAACCCTTGGAATAATCA